AATTTTAACGGTATAGCCGCTCGTCTAAACTTTATAAATAGAAATTTTCAGTATGCGTGGCTATACTCTATAAATAGAAATTTTAAACGTAAAGCTGCGTGGCTATACGCCATAAATATAAATTTTAAACATAAAGTCGGACGGCTATACGCCATAAATAGATATTTTAACAGTATAGCCGCCCGACGATACTCTTTAGATAGAAATTTTAACAGTATAGCAGTGCAGTGAGACTCTATAAATAGAAATTTTAAGGGTAAAGGCGAGTGGCTATACGCAATATATAGATATAGATATTTTACAGTATAGCCGTTCGGCTATACGCTTTAAATAGAAAATTTAAAGGTTTAGGCTATACTTTAAAAATAAAAATTTTAAAGTATCGATACTCCATAAATAAAATATTTTAACGGTATAACCGAGCAGCTATACTCCATAAATAGAAATTTTAAAAGTATAGCCCCGTGGCGATACTCCGCCCATTACTTCTATAATAAGCAGACAAGCACTGAACCCAAGTTTTTCATTGCATTGGGCCACTGATTAGTCATTCATAGATTTCTATTGCATTGGCCCAAGTTTTTAAAAAGTAAAACTTAACTGAGATGAAGAACTAATTAGTTTTCTTTGACTAAAAAGAAGAAGTAATTAGTTTTCGAGATGGTTAGTACAGTTTTAATGCTTTTAATCTTGTCTTTGTAATTTTAACAAGGCTTACCATTAGGATAGTCTATTTCACATTGTTTATGGACCCTTGTTAAGCCTGTCAAAATTGCTGTAAGAACTCTTAACATTATACGAATGAAACCCATTGTTTTGCTAAAATGTATCACATAATTGCCATGCGTGCACAAAAATTATAAAATATTTTCTGTAATAAAACATTAACTACTAAAAATAAGATCTTAAGAAATACTTTTAAGTGTCATGTATACCACGAACTCAACGCCAAAGCTATTAGGACTCATTTGAGAGTAATGCTGGGAGAGGTAGGGGTCATTTGAGAGTAATGCCTAGAATCCCAGAATCACTTAAGAAGGTGTGTTCTTGTCCTACTTTTACAGTTTCTATGTCTTCTCAATTACCTTGCGAATACCAGATCTCTTCTTAAACGTCAATGGCAAATTAAACCAACAATTTTGTTTATTAAAAAGTGATTCTCCATATAAGTAATTATTGACCTAGAGTCACTCCCAAATAAGCCCTTAGTAAAAACCCCCCTTTGACCGCATCTTCTTGCATGCCCCAGATCGATTGCTCAGTAATGCATTGTGTGCTACTACTAGGTTTGGTTTCCAGGAAAAGACCAAGAAGCGAAATATTCAAAACACCCATGATATTACATGCCTCCAGCTTACTTTTATGTAGAAGAAAAAAAAAATCAATGTATCAATCCGTACAAGAGGCACATTCATAGTGATAACAGAAGTTTTAACAAACGCCTTTGACCTGAATGCACCCCATCAATCACTCTACCAAAATTCTGTCTAAAAATTCTACATGTTACACAGTAAGACCTTGTGCAGCAGCAGCGGCAGGTGACTTGGGCTTAGGCTTTTCCACCACAATGGCTTGGGTGGTCAACACCATTCCGGCAACTGAAGCTGCATTCTGTAAAGCACATCTTGTTACCTTTGCTGGGTCAATAACACCGGCTTCCACCAAGTTCTCATACTTGTCTGTCATCGCGTTGTAACCGATCTCCCATTCACTATCCTTTATTTTCTCCACAACCACTTCACCTTCAATTCCAGCATTTTGAGCTATTAATGCTGCTGGTGATACCAGTGCCTGCATGTAAATAGATTTGATTTTTCAGAATGAATAGGACAGGTGTTGAGAGAATTAGCGTAGAATATGGAACTTCTTCCTTCAAGAATAATAGTAGCAATTCCAAATAATCAGGTATGATTGTTACCTTCTGCACAATGTCAGCACCTAGCTGCTCATCTGCATCTACAAGTTTTTGCTTGAGTGCAGGGACATACATTGACAGATGCACCAAGGCGGCACCACCACCAGGCACAATACCTTCCTCTATGGCAGCAAAAGTGGCATTCTTGGCATCCTCAATACGAAGCTTACGGTCCTCAAGTTCGGTCTCTGTAGCAGCTCCCACCTTTATAACAGCAACTCCACCTGATAATTTAGCAATCCGCTCAGCCAATTTTTCTGAGTCATAAACAGAATCTGTCTCAGATAACTCCTTCTTCAGCTGTGCAATCCTAGCTTGCAACTCATCTTTTGATGCTGCATCAGCAATGATGGTAGTGGAGTCCTTTGATATTGTCACCTTTCGGGCCAAACCAAGCTGCTCAACTGAGGTGTTCTCCACTAGTAGACCCAGATCACTGGCTTGAAACTCAGCTCCTGAATATATATGGAACCAGCTGAATGAGTTATATATCCATGCAAATTAAGTGTCTATCTGTTGACACAATTAAAAAAATATCCAGAATATACTGTAACAAAGTAACCAAGCATTTTGCTCCATTAAATATCCAATCCAAAGAAACAGATACAAGAAAACTCCTTGCACTATTGATATCAAACTTCACTTGTGTTACTGAAATATAATCTGATATACTAAGCCAAATATTTACCTGTTAAAATGGCGATATCTTGGAGGAGAGCCTTTCTCCGTTCACCAAAACTAGGAGCTTTGATGGCAGCAACATTAATTATGCCCCTCAACTTGTTCACAACAAGAGTCGCCAAAGCCTCCCCAGAGACATCCTCAGCAATTATAAGCAGAGGGGCTCTCAACTGAGTGGTCTTCTCCAAAAGAGGAATTATGTCCTTGATAGCTGAAATTTTCTGGTCGGTAATCAAAACTCTTGCATTCTCAAATTCAACAATCAATTTCTCAAGGTTTGTAACGAATTGAGGGGAGATATATCCTCTGTCAATCTGCAACCCAATGACAAAAATCATCAAGAGACGATAATCATATCATATACAGAAAGGAAAATAATGAAATGCAACTAAGACCATAAAGAAACACACCTCCATTCCTTCTTCTACTTCGACGGTTGTCTCAAATGAGGATGATGACTCAATGGATAGGACACCATCAGGTCCCACCTTGTCAATAGCATCAGCAATCATTGTCCCAATATACTCATCGTTCCCAGCAGAAATAGAAGCAACAGCTGTAAGCAAAACAATGATCAACTAAGAATGTGGGGTTTCAGTAAATAATTAAACTTGATGAAATATACCCTAACATTTGTTACAGCTCAGTACCTTTAACATCATCACGACCCTTAACAGGCCTAGATTTATTCTCTAGCTCCTCTATCAGACCATGTACAGTTTTATCAATCCCCTTCTTTATTGAAACAGGATTTGCACCAGAGGTGACACTCAAAAGTCCGAGCTTGATTATCTCCCGAGCAAGAATTGATGCTGTTGTTGTTCCATCACCAGCTGAGTCGTTCGTTTTGCTAGCAACCTAAAACCACAATTGAAACAAGCGAGCATGGTAAAATAACCCAGAAAATTATAACTGCCCAACATGGGATAGTACTACTTGGAAAAATACTATAAACATAAAGGTCCAACCTCCCTAATGAGAGCTGCACCAGCATTTTCCATAGCATCGGGAAGCTCAATAGCTCTAGCAATTGTTACTCCGTCATTCACCACTTTGGGACTTCCATATTCGTCCAAGACAACGTTCCTCCCTACAGACACATCAAAATTAAGAATTGCTCATGTTCAAAGAGCATACCATGAAAAAAACCTCTATATACTGGAAATTTTTTGAAGCAGGTTAAGGAGACACTCTTTTCGTCACAAACGCACAACAAGGAAATATCCAAGATAGTACCAATGCAACAAGGAAAAGAAATAAGATACCCCTAGGGCCAAGAGTAAGGCCAACTGCATCAGCAAGCTTATCAATTCCGGCCTGTAGCGCACGCCTTGAGTTCTGGTCAAAAGCTATATCTTTTGCAGCAGCCTTCACAACAAATCGGCCCCTTGATTGCTTGTAATTCACCCTATTATTTTGCTGCTGATTCACCCTCCTCCTCAAACTCTGGCAACGCCATTAATTCAGACCAAAGAATAAATTTTTAATATTGACAAAAACAAAGAAAACCCGAAAAGATTAAGGCAAATAAACCTCAGATGCTGTTAATATGACCAAACTACACATAAACATCCTAGATTATTAAACCTGCATTTTTCTTCAGTCCCAACAAGAACCAATTACCAACCACAGCTACCAAGTAATTCAAGCTATAGGGCTTAAACAAATGCTTGGTTCACAAGAAATGAGAGACCAAATGAAACTCAAAACACACAAATTCATTCACTGTCCTCCACAAGCTCGGCTAACACCATTAATTCATACAAATATGGAACTAAGAAGATTGAGCCAAACAAAACCCAAAAAGATTAAAGCAATTAAACCTCAAATGATGTCAATATGCGACCCAAAAACACAAGCAAGATGCCCAGATAATTAAGGGCAGGTAGGTGTAAGGCAAAGCTAAGAAGTAATTCAAGCCACAGCGGTCAATGTTTGGTTTAGAGGAAATGAGAGACCAAATGAAACCCAATACCCACAAATTCATTCACTTTCGTGATAGCAGACAATCCAAGAAGCCATTACCTGACTGGGCGAGCAGAGAACGGAAGCTGAAGTAAGAGCGTTGGCCGACGCCATTTTCAGAGATTCAAGGTCGTGGCTTTGTTAGAGAGTAGAAATGTAAGTGTGCGTGTGGATAAGAGAGGCTCACAGTTTTGTTAGGGTTTTTGCCCGTTTTGGGTTTTATTGTTATGGGAGAGGAGAGAGAACCGTCGACGATGTTCCAGAACCGTCTTCTACTTCCAGAAGAACCCTTTGAGGCCTCTTTCGTTTTGAGGCCCAATACTAACATGATATCTCTCTGCAAATTGGGCCTTAAATAGTTGGGCCCAGCTTCTGGTTTCACAAAGAAACGGGCTTTAGACAATTTAATGTTAGCTTGATTTGTTTCTCTCTCACTCTCAGCGTGCCAGTGAATCTCGAGACCCTCCAGGAAGGAGAAGCCGTTGGAGGTTAGTTGATCTATTCTGATTTTCTCTCTGTATTTTAGGTTATTTTCTAACTCTATTGCTCTGTTGGATGATTTGGCTATGTGCATGTTAGGTTTTTCAGAATTGAGATTATCAAGGTTTCTCTGTTTTCATTATTTGGGGGAAAATTGGTCTAGGCTGTAGGAAGTTCTTGATTTGGGAGTTGAAAGATGTGATTTTTTTTTCTTTATTTTTACTGTTTCTGTCATCGTATATTTTCTCTTTGGTATTAAAAAATTGTTTCTTTTTTCTTTTTGTTAATTCAAATGCTTGGGGGATTAGCCTCTCTTGTCTAAACACAGCAATGGAAGTTCGTCAGTTTACTGAGTTTTGTATGAAAAAGATTAATTATTGTTATTAATTTTTTTGGAAAATGCATATCTGTTTTTTGGTTTCCCTGCATTCATGTTCCTCTTCCTGAATAAGGGCAGCATTTCTTTGGCTTTTCAGGCGAGGCCCAGCAGAGGTGGTCCGAAGAAGAAGACTGCCAGCCACTCTTGCAAGCCTCTTTTTTTTCTTGGAAAGTTTTTGAAAAAACAAACTGTCTTGTCTCTTGTTTTTCAATTGAAGTCACTTAATAGAGTGCGCCATTTTTGCCCCTTGTATTTAAAACTTCTAGTTACTTCATAAACACATGGTGTTGATTTGTAACTACCTATCTCTATCTCTCTATATTGTCTCTAGTCTATTCTTTTTTCTCCCATTAGTTATCTGTTCCCACCTTGTATTCTCAATCTTTTTCTCCCAGCCTCCAAAGTGTCGAGTACTTAGAATGTAGCTAGAATGAGGCTAATTCCAAACGATTGCTAATGCTAAATGAATGCCAACTGTCAAACATGGTTTTCTCAGTTCCCTCTTTATCCTTTTCTCCCATTATTTATCTGTTTATATTTGTGTTCTTATTGTAATCATTCACATCCGAAAGGCTTATGCCTCTTGGTCACAAAACTTACGCCTTGCCTTGGGGGACATGAATTATTACCAGTGTTTTATAAGGCAAAGACGTTCCAGAGTTTTGCAGCAATCAGATAATAGGCGAATTTTGTAAAAACTCCATTCTTATTGACAGTACGAAAACATGTAGATATTCAATTAACCTATCTGAGATTGTCATTTGATCCCACATAATTTTGCTTTTATTTACTGAATTTATTTGCCCCTTCCTACCACTGTCTGTTGGGCCATTGTGTGGACAACGCATTCCTGTAATGGTTTCTAATTGTAGATTGTATGGCATTTACGTTTGTGTGTGGATCTGGATGTTATTCTGTCCCTGTTGTACACTTTCTAAAATGCGGCCTTCATATGCAACTGGTATAATGACATTGCATGGTGTTTCCAGAAATACTGTGACCTTTTTTCTCTTGTTACTCACCTACTTACGTTTACTTTTTTTTGAAGTAAAACTACTTATTGGTCCCTGATATTTTCTTCTTTTCTTTTTGACTGTTCAAGATCAAAAGAAACCCATATGAGAAGGGAGAAAACAACAGATTTGGAGTTTGAAGCAAGGAGAGAGAAGAAAAAGCTCAAGCAGAAAAGGAAGAAGGATGAACCTGATAGAAATTCCTCTTTGATTGAAGTCTCTGAGGAAAAAATGAATGAGCTAGTTCAGGTGCAGAAGTTTGACAAGAATGGTGGAATTAATGAGAAAAGTGTCGAAGGGGCCAACAAGAAAAAGAAAAAGAAGAGGGGAATGGAGGAGGCTGATAGTGAACTAAAATCAAACCTGACTAATGATCAGGAGCTTGAAAATGATTGCAAGAAATCCAATGGGAAAATCACGGAAGAAGTTAACTTTGCAGATAATGAAAAGAAGAGAAAGAAACTCTTTGAGGATGACAAAATGGGTGAGGCAGCTAAGAGATTTCAATGCTCTGAAGACTGTGACAACAATGGAGAAGGGGATAAAAAGAAAATGAAGAAGAAAGAGAAGAGAGAAAAGGTAGATGGTGAATGGGTACAGAAGATCATAACTGATGGAAAGGAGGCTGGAGTAGAAAGTGAGCACTCAGATGGGAAAATTATGGAGAAAGAGAAAAGCAACCATAGAAAGAAGTCAAGAAGTCAAATGCAGGAAACTGTGGTTGAGAAACTGGGCACAGAAAGCAGTAGAATTGAAGGAAATAATTTCTTGGAGAATGACGGTAATGTACAGACAACTGGAGATGAGACAAGCAACAGTAACATAGAGGTTGTGTATGTAGAAGACAGTAATAAAAGGAAGAAGAGGGCCAAGTCAAAGAAACATGTTAATGTAGGGGACTGCAACAAAGACGAAAAGGAAATAGCCAAGTCAGATAAAGGAAGTCTAAAAACCCCAAAAAATGTTAGGGCTCCCGATCTTTCTGAAAATTCTACACCTAGAAAACCATCAAAAAGAGTAAGTTTTTCTGATGATGTGCAGGTAGTGTATGTAGAAGACAATAATAAAAGGAAGAAGAGGGCCAAGTCAAAGAAACATGTTAATGTAGGGGAATGCAATGAAGACGAAAAGGAAATAGCTAAGTCAGATAAAGGAAGTCTAAAAGCCCAAAAAAATGTTAGGGCTCCAAATCTTTCTGAAAAATCTACACCTAGAAAACCATCAAAAAGAGTAAGTTTTTCTGATGATGTGCAGGTCTTTCCCCCATGTGATGCCCCAAAAGATGCTGAAAAGGGCTTAGTACAAGGTAAGCGGTTTTCAGAAGAAGAAGACAAGCTTGTAAAAGAGGCTGTTTTAACATACCTAGAGGAACATTGCTTAGGTGATGAAGGCATCGACAAGGTACTCAATTGTAGATCCAATCCCCAAGTCAAAAATTGTTGGAAGGATATTGGGGCAGCCTTACCCTGGAGGCCTTCTAAGAGCATATATTATCGAGCTCATATTTTATTTGAACGAGTATGAAGAAGTATGAAGAAGTAAGACGTGCCGCCATGGAATCTAAGGATAAAGGTGAAGCCAAACCCAATTGGAGAAGGGTGGGTAATGAACTTGGCAAACATAGAATTCATGTCAAGGATGCTTGGCGTAGAATCAAACTGCCAAACATGAAGAAAGGACATTGGCCCCAAGAGGAGTACAAGACTTTATTTGATTTAGTGAACAAGGATCTGCAGATGAGGGCGTTGGAAGAAAAGAAATCCAAGCATGGCTTGCTGCGAGATAATATCAAGTGGGAGTCAATCAGTGAGACTTTAGGCACCAGAACCAATCCCGCTTGCTGCCAGAAGTGGTATTACCAATTAACATCACCTTTGGTAGCTGAAGGTGTGTGGGCTGATGCTGATGACTATCGCCTACTTTATGCTCTTGATAGCTTGGATGCTTGTTGCATGGAAGACGTTGATTGGGATAATGTTCTTGAGCACAGGTCTGGAGATGTATGTCGTAAGCGATGGAATCAAATGGTCAAACACATTGGTCAGTATGGGACTAAGTCCTCTGCTGAAAAAGTTGAAATTTTGTCGAAACGTTATTGTGCTGATGCACTTGAAGCAAGAGAAGTCTTCGATAGTAAGCGTGCAGTTGACTCAGGTTTATTTGGCATCAAAGTAGCGGATGTAATTGAAACAAGGGAGGAGTCTCTATATGATAGTAGCAAACCTGTCTGTCTCATCCTCTGCCATCGATGCTCGCCGAAAACGCACTGCACTGCATTGATTTCTAGGTGCGCTGATTGAAGTCGGTATGCAAAAGCAACGCGGACAACATCCAGTACGGCGGTTGACAACTCCCCAGTGGCACGGTTCGACCATAAATATATTATTGACCTCGTGTTTTATTTGAATGAGGCGAAAAAACGCATCTACCTCCGCTTCCATTCATGCCAACAAAGTCAGTTTCATGAAATAATTGTGAAATCCCACACCACTTGTAATTATTCAAGTTTGTCTCAAATAAAAGATACATGTTCATGGCACATGAATTCTGTTACGCCGCAGGAGCGGGAGAGATAGGCCTTTACTATGTCTTTGTATATATAGATTCTCATATATAAAGTTACACTATCAACTAGAAAAAATTGAAAATGGAAATGAGAATAAATTCACAATATATTTTTTGTTATTGCCATTATAAGTTTTCATCTCTTGTAATAAGCTTAGTAGTGACATACTCAAAAAATTCATTATATGAAAATAGACTATTAAATGGTGTACAATTCAAATATAATGTAGCAACTCCCAAAAACAGTACGTCTATCTTTCATACCATAACTGTGATGTTCAAGTTTATGTAATTGCAACATTAAGGCACGTCTCACAATCTATGCCAGAAAGGTCATGAGTACATTCTACGTTAGCATAAAGAGTTTGACTCCTGTTTTTTAATTGTATAAACCCCCTACCATACAATGATCCATCAGCAACTTTAGAACTTAATTTGGTGAGCAATTCAAAAGCTTTATTTTGAAATGTCACTAAATTGGGTATTCCTTCCATAAATTCCGTAGCTATGTCAATTTTACCCAAAAAAATTGCATATGAGTATTTTACAAGGCAACCTACCATCCAAATTATAGCTCCTCGATTGAGAGGGCAATGCTTGCGAAGCTGTAGGCTTGCTGTACTAATACAACTTTTGCATGATCCGTAATGCGGGCTATTACGAGTAAGTTTCCAACATTGTGCTAGCCCGTACACAGAAATATTTTGTTTTATTATAGATTTAGCTCTACTGTTGATAACTCCACTTTGGTATTGTGAATTCGGAATTGTTTCCGCTGACGATGATGATAGATGGCCGACCGATGGTTGGAAATTGGCATGGTACAATTCTTTACTTTCATTTAAAGATATGATTTTTCGATATAAAAGTGGGGTTGGGGGGCCTACAATTAAAAAAAAGAAAGAAGAAAGCTACTAAAGTAGATTAACTTATGATTGGGGGTGGGCATTGGGACCGAAAAATTGGAACACTGAACCGAATCAAATGGAAAAACATCTCTCTTTTTTAGGCTCAATATCTCTCTTTGTATGAAATTGGATCATTTGTTAATTTTCAAGCCCAACAAATAAAATTTTAGTTTGAATTTGTAAAAAAAAAAAAAGTTTCAAAAAAATATAAAAAAAAATCCGATCCAAAACTGGAAAAATCAGAAATCGGATCGGAATTGGTTCAAATCAGACCAACTAGTTTCAAAATTTTTCTCTCACTAAAATTAGACTGAATTGAACTAGTTAAATAGTACTAGTTTCGATTTTAGTTTTGAGGTAAAAATCGGACCGAATCGGACTACGCCCACCCCTACTTATGATCACATAACTTCTATAACATCCACGCAAACATTTCCTAAAGTGCACATTCAAAAGGAATGAGAACAAAACCTATCCTATTACTATAACAAGTATTTTGAAGAACTAAAATAGGATTCATTAATTCCCATCCCTTGGAATGATGACATTCCTTTGAGTCTTGTTTAATACTTGTATTAGCACACAGCGATCCACTAACAACTTGACACCTTAATCGGGTGAATAACACAAGAAATTTATTTTGAATCAACATGGGATCATCAACTAATTTGGGATTCACCCCATAAAGCCTATTACTTGTGTCACTTATACCAAAAAAAATTATATCCGAGTACTTTAAAAGACAACCGACCATCCAAATGATAGCTCCATGACTCATAGGGCAATGTTTGCGAAGCACTAGCCCAACTCTACTGATACAACTTTTGCAAGACTTGTAAGTCGTGTCATTCCAAATAAAATTCCAACATTGTGCTAACCCATATACAGAAGTGCTTTGCTCTGTTATAGATTTAGAGGTGCCACTTCGGAATCCATTAGGAAATTTTGTGGATAATTTTTGTGTCAATAACGTATTTAAGTTATCCTCATAATTTCCTTTGGCTAGAAATTTTACCTCATTGAAACAATTGTGCCCTAAAACATGTGGTTCACCAGGTGCAAAGACACTTTCGAGAAAAAAGGGAGAAATATAAAAGACTCAAAAGGAATAATGATTTTAAGTAAAACATGTTTCAATAGATCGAACTAAGATTGAATATATAACAATCACAATTATCTTACTTTTATTAGTTTCACATTCTAGTTATACAAATTTATGTTTTGATACCAGTTCGTTTAAGAAAGAATAATGCTTGCTATAATATATGTGTATAACTATATAAAGAAATTAAATATTCAAATCTTGTTTTTTTGAAAGCTATAATACTAAATTCATGTAGCTTTGTGTCTTCACATGAACAGTATATCACACTTTGCTGTTGTAGTAGTAGTATACATGACTACATGTTACAAAGGGGTAATATATTAATTCATATTTTGGGCGATCATCCAAAGAGCCATGCTTGCTCTATATTCCTATAAAAAAAAAGTACATATATATATATATAGTTTTTCTCAAATACGGACATCCGCATTTTGTTAAACTACGGTTCTCTCTTTTGCAACTTGTTTTTTTTTGCAAAAAAGGTGGATTTGATTCGTGCAATTCCAATTAGTACTAGAAAGCTGTTGGATTCATTGATATGGGACATAGCTTTGTGTAGAGTTGATGGGGGTGAAGCATTGCTTTTGTTCCTTTAAAAAAATACATACAACTATGAGTAGAGCTATTAGCCACAGCATAGACCGCAAGTTTAAAAGAACTTCAACATTAATGATAGTGCAACGTTAAAAAAGCAACAATTGCATGTTTATACCTTTCATTGTATTACTATATTTTTTTAGTTTCTAAACTTTCAATGTTTCATATGTCAACTTCTTGTTAATCTGTCAGGTGTGGACAAGAGCTTATACTACAAGATTTGGGAACTCACGGGACCATACATACACGATATTGAAAACCACTGAAGCTCTCATAAACGGAGACAAACAAATATGGAACAGCAGCCATCACCTAAAGTCCATGTAGTTTTTTTTATTTATAGGATATTTCTTATTGAGAGGGGCAATAATACACTAAACTCGCACACACAACACAATATGCATTTTGTGGTGCACTTTGTTCAATCCTTTGCGCTTAAAGGATGTGCATGCATAGCCAAAGAAGATTGGTTTAGTTGGTAAGATCCTTACACTGTGTGTAGCCCCACCAGTGTTCGAGTTCCGCTGCTAGTAGTCCTTGTTGGTGCGCGATCTATAATTTCCTACATAAATTCATACTGGTGGCACCTCACCTGGCATGGGTGCCACCCGTAAGTCCTTCCGGCCCGAGATTATGGGTTTGTCTTGACGCTAGTGGTGAGAATAGCCAATCTCCCTCTAAACTTTGTTTTACCAAAAAAATAGAACAAGAAAAAGATGTGCATGCATACCTATAACAAGAATTATTGTGTGTTTAATTAATAGTCATTAAGTTTGGTTGGATCAAAATTTCTCTAGTAGAAATGATCATTCCACATGTGAATTAACTTTCTTGGTTGGATTTGAGAAGCTGGACACCAATTAGGACCTTTGATTGAGAAAACACAGTCAATTCAATTGCATATTAATATATGTAGATGGCTGCTAAATGAACTCTAAAATTAACTGAGTACACACTACTACAAAAGTATTTATTGAATTACTGATTTACCCTAATATAAAATGACCAAAAAGAATATATGGAATTGTGATACAAATACAATTTTACTAAGTACACCCTACGAACCATATTCAACCATAATCAAGAGATAACTTGGCGCCCATCTTTGTGATCCGCGAGTCAGAATGGCTTGGAGCAGATGAAGCCTTCCTTCTTTCTTCTCAGAACTATTTCTTGGCAACTTGGATTGGACAACTTAAAAAGCAGGCTTCAATTCGGTGACACATCTACTCGACGTTGGACAACTTTTAGAAAGGTGCTTTTGACGGCTATTGTCAATGTCGACTAGTTCTGCATATTGATTGGGCAGCTTAAAAAGTAGCCTTCTTGTTTCTTGATGTGAGTAAATAACATGAAGGTTTCAATCTATTCCGTACACTTTAGAATCCAATTAGTCTTTAATTTTGCATATAAGCTTGTATACATGGTGAAATTTTATTTTAGTTTATTATTTCATGAAAGAACTTCATATAAATTAGTTCATTGATTATTAGATTCTATTTCCTCCTCATATGGTGAAATTTTCTCTTATGCCATGGGCCTGAGGCATAGCTCAGGAATTATTGCCCTCATTAGCCTTTCCACTGTAAAGTAATGCTCCAGTTGAATTGCTTATTTATTTATTTATGTATTTGGATTCCTATCCTAAGGAGTTTCAAAGCCTCTTTTGTACTTTTGAAATTATGCAGATTTGCAAATTAGGTTACTTTTGAAATTTTGGAATGGATGCTTCATACATTTCGAGGGAGTCATCACAAGAGGTATTAACTTTGATTTTTTGTTTGTTTTTGGGTTTAGGCTAAAGTGTGTTTACCGAACAATGACGAATATGAGGGGTTTTTTTTTTTATATAGCATCCAGAAGATGTATCTAAGCATGACACCGGCATCAATAAACAATGTGTTTAAGACTACATAAACGAATTGATCACAAATGAGGTAAATTAATGAATATTTATATATTTATTTTATAATTGCATACATTAATTTAATTATTAGTGATTTTACATATATTTGTTAGTCGTGATGCATTAATAAGATGGACTCGTGAACAAGGGAAAAGGAATGGTTTTGTGATTATCATTAAAAGGTCTGATATTGGAGGAGTTGGTAAATTTAAGACCGGTCGAATTCTATTTTGTTGTGAGAGGGGTGGCCAATTTAGGAATAAAAAAGTTGTGAAATCAGATAGCAAGACAATACATAAGCTTGATCAAAGTTCAACCCTCCAAAGAAAAAAGTGTGAAGTGCAGCAAAAATCAAGCATTATGAAAAGTCTATAAGTGTGAAGTGTTTATACAATCTTTGACTTTTAAAACCCTCTATAAGGGTCTATAAATAAATAAAAATGTATTCTAATAGGGAGGTTAGTTACCAAGAAATTCCCCCATCAGCATTATGGTTTTATCAAGTTCCACTAATCACGAACCATAATGACGAATAAGAAAATGTGCGAAGTCTATTGTGAGTGGTAATCTTTTTAGACCTTGAATTTGTCTTTGACAAATAAGAAAATGAGAATTATTAAATTGGGCTATCATTCGATGCTTGACAACATTGGAAAAATGAAACCAAAATGAGACTAGCAATTGAGCTTTTCATCATTTAAAAGGCACTTCGGAGTTGGAATTGGAAGGAACTTGTTTGTTTTCGGTGATCATGGAGAGAAGTCGTTTCCTCTTCTCAACGACGTTGTTGCTGGTGCTCTACAGTTCTATATGTCTGGGCACAGTAGGTGCAGCACAAACCAACATCACCACGGACCAGTTTGCTCTTCTTGCTCTCAAATCCCATATCACTAGTGACCCTCACAACATCTTGGTCAACTGGTCAACCACCACCTCGGCGTGCAATTGGGTTGGCGTTTCCTGTGGTGTTCGTCACCTCAGAGTAACATCATTGCATCTCTCGTACATGGATTTCACAGGCACCATTCCACCACACTTAGGCAACCTCTCATTTCTTGCTGAGCTCCTCTTCACAAACAACAGTTTCCATGGCACATTGCCCCATGAATTGTCTTATTTGCGTCGTCTGAAGTTTATTAACTTAGGATACAACAATTTTATGGGATATATTCCATCGTGGTTTGGGTCCTTTCCCAAACTTCAAGACTTCAATTTGTTTGGCAATCAGTTTTCCAGTTCCATACCGACGACTATCTTCAACTTATCTACACTGCAAGTAATTGATCTAAGCAACAACCAATTATCAGGTACGCATATCAACAAACTATCTAGGAATCTATTATTGATATATAAAAAAAAAAAAAACTTCCTGGAATACTAGATTACGTATTTGATTTTTAATTTTGAGCGTAGTTAAGTATTTTCATACTGAAAATTTTTGTTGTATTTGAAAGTTTATAAAAACTTACATTTAGGCAACATTTAGATTATTATATTTAAATATTTTCTGAATTTTTGGTATGCATAACAGGTAAGATACCAAGAGAAATAGGAAACTTAACAATTCTGAAGGACCTAGACCTCGACTACAACAATTTGAACGGTATATTGTTGCAGCACATTATTGTATATGCATAAATCACGAGCTTAATATATACATATATATATATATAAATATATACTTGTTGATTTCAGAAATTTCAAAAGAGATCGGCTCTTTAGACCACCTGGAGAATTTGTATGTGCAGTTCAATGCCCTAAAAGGCCATGTTCCTGCGGCTGTTTTTAACATGTCTTCTTTGACTACTTTGACTCTATATGGAAACAATTTGAGTGGTGGTCTTCCAGATAATATATGCCAGAATCTTCCTAGTATTCAGGTGGTCAATTTGGGTCGCAACAAGTTTGATGGTCCACTTCCATCCAAATTCTGGCAATGTAGACAACTTCTTGTATTAAAATTGTCTCAAAACAGTCTCGGTGGAAGCATACCCAAAAATATCTGGAACTTAACCCAGTTAATGATGATTTATCTTGCCTCCAACAATTTGACAGGTAATTGATATTTCATTATGATTTACCTGGTTTTTTTTGGTTGCATCAATTTTCATTATTTAACTATTTTGTTGTTGTAACTAGAACATAATTATTTCATAGTTAGTAAAAATGAGGTTTAACTGTTCAAGGAAATATCGTATATGTTCAACAATTTAAGTAAATACTGATTTCAACTACATAACCAGAATATAATATATTGACTTGCCTGTGTGGTTGGCGGGATGGGGGAGGGAAATGAAGCATAAAGACATACAAACTCAATACTCAAACGTGTTTTGCTCAAGAGAATATGACATTTTGTGAAATTGTGGCAGGCACTATACCAGATGAGATGGGTGATCTTCGAAATTTAGAGGCCTTGTCAATCCAAGATAATAATATGAATGGCCTCATCCCATCCTCACTCTTCAATATCTCCACCATAAGAATATTATCGCTTGGTTTTAATCATCTCTCGGGTAGCCTCCCAGCAAACATTGGTCTTGGGGTTCCAAACCTGCAAGTCCTTTCTATATCATCAACTGACCTCAGCGGAGTAATCCCCCACCTCTCCAATGCTTCTATGCTCAGCATTGTAGACATGGGCCAAAACTCATTTACAGGGTTTATTCCAAGCACCTTATGTGCCTTAACAAACCTTCAGTGGCTTAACTTAAACAGGAATAATTTGACGATTGATACTTCCACTCCAGACGCAAGGACTCTCTCTTGTTTGGCTAAACTTGGAAATTTGACATCACTATACTTGCGAGATAATCCGTTAAATGCCACTCTTGATGATTCCTTTTGGAATTTCTCTACGTCGTCACTTAAAAATATTGATTTAAGCGGTTGCAGCATGATGGGTAACATTCCCATTGGTATTGGCAACTTGAGCAGCTTGATATCCTTAAACCTGGGAGGCAATCAATTGAATGGATCAATTCCAACTTCAGTGGGAAGACTGGGGTCTCTCCAAGGTTTGTATTTGGATAGAAACAAGTTACAAGGATACTTCCCATATCAACTTTGTCAACTAGTTAACCTAGTTGAATTACGTTTGGGCAGTAATCAGCTCTCTGGTTCTATACCTTCCTGCTTGGGAAATCTAGCCGCATCTCTTCGAACTCTATCACTAGACTCCAATTCGTTGAGTTTCACAATACCATCTACTTTTTGGAGACTTGCCTATATCTTGCATGTAAACTTATCATCCAATTCTCTAATTGGACCTCTCTCACATGATATTGGGAACTTGAAAGTTGTGATAGATGTAGATTTATCAAATAACCATTTATCTGGTGTTATACCAAGCACCATTGGGGGTCTTCGGGATTTGGCTACTCTCTCCTTGGCAAATAATAATTTGGAAGGCCCTATTCCAAGTTCATTTCACAACTTGCTAAGCCTGAATCTCTTGAATTTATCCAGAAACAATCTGTCTGGAGTGATTCCAAGGTCGTTAGAAGCTCTCTTACTTCTCAAGTATCTGGATTTGTCTTTCAACAGGCTCCTAGGAGAAATTCCAACAGGAGGACCGTTCCAAAACTTCTCTGCTCAATCGTTTGTCTCAAACAGCGCACTCTGTGGTGCACCCCGACTTCATGTTTCACCATGCAAAAATGGTACACATGAACCGAATTGGAGGAAAGCTAAATATATCATCCCAGGGATCATATCAATAATTTTCTTAGTGGCCTCCGTCTCTATCTCTGTAATACGCAGGAAAAGGAATGTGGAAGTTGCAGGAGAGGCTATCTCGTTGCCTCAACTTCTTTGGAGAAGAGTTTCACACCTTGAAATTCTAAGGGGCACAAATGGATTTCACGAAAGCAACTTATTGGGAAGCGGGGGTTTTGGCTCAGTATATAGAGGGACACTTTCAGATGGAATAGATGTTGCTGTAAAAGTTTTCAGTTTACAGCTAGAAGGGGCTTTCAAGAGTTTTGATAGGGAATGTGAGATGCTAAGCAATATTCGTCATCGAAACCTTATCAAAATCATCAGCTGTTGCAGTGAAATTGATTTCAAAGCCTTGGTACTGAACTACATGTCTAATGGGAGCCTCGAGAAGTTGTTGTACTCTCAAAGCTCTTCTCTGAATATATTGCAGAGGATGAATATAATGGTAGATGTTGCACTAGCATTGGAATACCTACACCATGGCTATTCAATACCTATTGTGCACTGTGATATGAAGCCAAGCAATATATTATTAGATGATGATATGGTTGCACATGTTGCTGATTTTGGCATTGCACGACTCTTGGGTGGAGGAGATTCTATCACCCAAACCATGACCCTAGCCACAGTCGGGTATATGGCTCCAGGTGATGTACTTTCTACATATCAATATAATTAACATATATATATATATATATATATACATATATATAATTCAAATATAATTCATATTGCAGAGTATGGAATGGAAGGAATAGTTTCAACAAGGGGGGATACGTACAGTTTCGGAATTGTAATGATGGAAACATTCACAAGAAGGAAACCAACATATGAGATGTTTGTTGGGGAAATGAATTTAAAGCAATGGATTGCCAACTCACTATTACCGGATGCAATGATAGATGAAGTTGTGGATGCAAATTTGCTTGGGATTGAGACAGAGCAGGAAGATGATGATCTTGTGAGGAAGAGGGATTGCATATCAGCCATTATGAGATTAGCTCTTGCTTGTTGTGCAGAATCACCAAAAGAGAGGATAAGTATGACAGAAGCTGTAGCCACACTCAAGAAAATCAAGACAAAGTTTTTGAAGAACGCTGCTGTCGGAGGAGGTGTGCTGTTAAATCATCCTCGTGTTCAGCGCTTTAATTAATGGGATCCTATCCTATGACATATATTTCATGTAGTTTTATTCAATTTCAGTATTTAATTTGTGTGGGTGTAGACAACGTAGAGGAAGCCATAACGTTTTGTTTTGGTATATTTGACTGATTGTATAATTGTATTTAAATTTTGAAGACAATAATATATATGTGGAAATTCAAAGCTTCTTACTTGGTATGGTATCAGAGGAGGGTCTATTCTGTTATGTGGTTGCTGCAACCATGGCATGTTGGGTGCTCTGTTGCTACTTTCCCCATGTCAGGAGGGCAAGAAACGACTGATTACTAGGGCAGGCAATGGATTGTGTCATGTCAAGATCATATACATGTCAAGAATACACAACCCAAATCCGACCCGTTTAATAAACATGTCATGTCAAGTTGACCCGCTAAATTTCTGTGCAGGTTTGGAGTCGTGTATCGGGTTGACCCGTTAAGTGGTAGCAACTACTAACTAGCAAGGTAAAAATGTAGACAAAAAAAAGTAGAGAGAGATGTGTAATCGTGCAGGTTGACCTGCTAATTTTCCTTGCCAATTTTGAGTTGTGTATCGTGTCGTATCAGAAATTGGCACCTGTACTGATTACGACATCCTTATGTTGGTCTCTCTAGGTGGACCCAGCTAACCCCGACTATAGGTCATAGCCCATATTCACCCTTGCTAGTTAGTTATATATAGGGTCAGGATCGGGGGACACACATTTTTAACATATATTTTAACACACATTTCAAACAATTAGATTAATCCACTTTTAAATGGCTAAGATTCAATTTGACTATTGCATTTAAAAACTTAATTAACATAATAAAAGTTGACTATTTAATTCTACACAAACACAATGTCTAAATCGGGTTGACCTAAAACCGGATAAGACCAGTTTAGTTCGGTTCTTGTAGTGAAAAAATAAGATCGGGCTAAACCTGACTGACTGTGTATTTTTTAATAAAATATTTAACCCCAATGTTAAATTTCTAAGGCCATAACTAATTTTTTCTCAAGCCCAACTCCAAATCATCTCTCTCTTTTAGGCCCAATCGCCTCCCTTTGCATGAAATTGGGCTATTTGTGAATTTTTAAGTCAAAAAAATAAAATCTTAGTTGAGTTTTGTAAATATAAAAAATATAAAAAAAAAATTCTGGTCCAAAATCGTAAAAACCGGAAACCAAACCGATTTATGAGCAAATTGGACTGAACTAGTTTTATAATTTTTTTCATCAAAATCGAACCAGATGAATAGTGCCAATTTCGATTCTAATTAAGGGTGAGAATTGGACCAAACCAGACCGTAGTCAACCCTACTTCTGGTCCATTTTTTAAATGAGCTCAATCACTATAATAAAAAGTAGGGAAATTTGCATTAATACCACCTAAACTTTTAGGCATGTGCACTATTACTACCTTAACTTTTAATTTTAATTTTTAACCACCTAAACTTTGTAAAGTGTTGAAATTCACCATCTATGTTTAACACCGTTAAAGTTTCGGGTTAAGTTTGAGGGTTTTTTTGTCCATTCCTTATAAAGAATTTTTTTAAAAGAAAAGTTAACCTAATTACACCACACCTGCCCTTACCCCTACCCATTTCCAACGCCAATCCATCTCCCTTCCCTATCGTACTCTATATTTCTGTGTCCCTTGGCATCTTGATGTGGGTTGTTGAAATTGAATTGCAAATTGATCATTGCAACCGTGTTAAGTGCTACAAAAGAGGTGGTGCCAACAATAACAATAAGGTATTTAGCTTACTTGGTTCTCAAACATATCAGCACATGATATATGTTTATCATTATTGACTTATTTATTGACTTTGGCAGCAACAACCTCATGCGAATCATACATTGTGGAATGGCAGGGGGCTGAAAAGGGAGGGGGTGGTTGCTGGTTATTTGTTCCAAAATAAATTTTGGTTGAACACTACTGATCCATAGGGTGGATTAGCAGCAATGACATCTTTCTTTTTATTTTTTTAATTTTGTTTTTTACATTTATTTTTAGTTGTATGGTAGAGACAAAAATGCCCTCAAACTTAACGGATACTTTAACTGAAGTTAGACATAAGTAGTGGATTGCAACACTTTGCAAAGTTCAAGTGGTTAAAAAAAAAAAAAAAAGTTTAAGTGGTAATAGCGCACATGCTTAAAAGTTTAGGTGGTATTTATGCAAATTTCCCTAAAAAGTATTAAGAAGATACAAAATTACAAGTGTGCGATCGGTTCCTACAACAAATGTTGATAATGAGTTGTAGCTAATAGGCAAAAGGAAGAAAAAATATGAATTAGAGTTGGAAATGCCAAATGTTCAAGGCTACAAACTTTTTGGGCATTTCGATGGTTCTTCTGTTCTACCTCCTCAATTCGCCATTGTTGACGAGGAAAGCGAAACTTCTGAACTCACCGTTGCTTATAAGGACTGGATTCGTACTGATAAGGCGCTTTTGAGTTTAGTCATTGCTTCTTGTCTGACAAGGCGATTGAATATTTCATTGGAAGCAAAACAGCTCGCGAAGCTTGGATCAACCTCTTTGATTGCTATGCTTCGGTTTCTCGGGCTCAGATCAACCATCTCAAAACTGAGTTGCAAACTACACAGAAAGGTGGAGATTCTATTGAGCGATTTTTGCTTCCTCTCAAACATCTTCAAGATCAACTGAATGCTGCTGGTATCAAGATTTCTGATGATGATTTCATTATTACTGCTTTGAATGGATTACCACCTGAATATGACATGATCAAGACTGTCTTGATTTCAAAGCACAGCTTCTCGTTGCTGAACAAACTGTTGAGGCTCGTATTGTTCATCATACTGCGTTATATGTGACTAATTCATCTTGTACTCAAGGTTCCTCTGTGTCTTCAGGATAGGGTATTTTACGTACACCTTCTCAGCCCACACGTTCAATCTTTTGATGGTCAATAGAGTTCTTTTTCTCTTGCCTCTAGTTCTCGAGGTTTTTCTGCACAAACCTCTGGTTGTGGAAGGTTTAATGGTGGTCGACATGTCTCCTCTCAGTTTCGGGGTGGTAGTACTTCTAGTTTTCATGGAAGTTATAATTCATATTGATCTCATGTGGTGCTTGAGTGTCAAATTTGCAGCAAGCGTGGACATACAGCTGCTAATTGCTATTATCATAATGCCAATTCCTCCTCTTCTACTTCCAGTGTTGTTGAATGCCAAATCTGTGGCAAACGTGGGCATGGCACTCTTGACTGTTTCCACAGGTCAAACTACTCATTTCAGGGCCAAGCACCTCATTCTTCTTTGAATGCTATGACTACTTAGACTTCTTTCTCTCCTGAGCATGTCTGGATTGCAGACAGTGGTGCTTCCCATCATATGGTTGGCAATTCATCTCAATTAGATCATGTGACTCCTTGTGATGTTGATGAGAATGTTACTGTTGGCAATAGGGCAGGTTTGACTATTCAGAATCTTGGCACTGCTACTATCTCTTGTGCCCAATCTACTTCACTGCATCTCCCATTTGTTTTGCATGTTCCTAAGCTCAAAGCAAATCTTGTATCCATCCATCAACTGTGTAAAGACAATAATTGTTTTATAACATTTGACGTCTCTTGCTTCTATATACAGGACAAGATAACCAAGGCAATTCTTCTTCAAGGCAAAAGTAATCAAGATTTATATCCCATTCCTCTTTCTACTTCTCAAAGATCTTGAGGTGTTTCTTCTATTTCTTCAGCTGTAGTTGCATATCTTGGACAACATGTCAACATCTTTATTTGGCATCAAAGGTTAGGGCATCTAACAAATACCGTTGTGCAAAGAATGCTTCAATATTCTGCTTTATCTATTTCTATTGATTCTTCTCAAGCACTATCAAATCTAATCAAAAAAGCCAAAGTAAAAACAAAAACTACTTCAAAGATTTGAAAATTCAACTTATCAAAACCGAAAAATAACTAGAAAATTCAAATAACAATTTGATCAAGAATATACATACCTCAATAGCAGAAAAACTGAGCTTCACATCAAAACATATGAATACTGTAATAGAAGAAGAATATCGAAAAATGCACTGCAGTTTCTATAAAAAATAAAAGTTCTCATATTTCAGTGATATTTTAAAACAAAAACAATGTAGATATCAATGATGTAAACAAAAACAAAAAAATGCAAAATGCAAAAAACAGCAACAAAAAAAGAAACTAATTTAATAGAAACAAAACTACATTGCTGAGTATGGGGAAAAAATAAACATATTAATAAGTGAGGAACCAAAATGCTAAACCATGATGAAAGTACTAAGGGCCAGTTTGGCATTGATGTGCTGTGAAAATAATCGATGTTAGATTTGCTGTGAGAGAAATCAGCTGTGAGAGAACACAGTTTGGCGTTTGGTAAACTTTTTGTTAGAAGTGTTGTTGGTATGGATTCCCGTATAATCAAAAAATAATTGCTGCATAATCATTAAATCCAACGCCTCTTTGAAACTGATTCCTGTATAATCAGAAAATGAAACCACCTTATTAGCTGCTTTCCCAAATAGCTTTCTATCACAGCAATTTTTAACAATAAGTGATTTTCTCATAGTTTACTAAACGGATTGGGCACTTATCACCCCAAATAAGCAATACCAAACGGGCACTAAAACGGAAACAGAAACTGCAATCCACGTTCTTGTTTGTTTGGTTTTTTCCATGGTAAAATTGATTGGATGCTGAACTGAATCGAAGGAGAAGATGAAATGAGAGAGAGGAGTTGATTGACCTAGACGAGCCGAACAGCACCAATGATGGCGGCGACACTTCACTAGACAACGACTTGGATATTGTGGTGCTACAGTCCCACAACTGCTGGACTGTTCCAGCCAAAATTGCCCATGAACTCCGACTATTTGGGTTGGGTATTTTGGGGAGATGATAGAGAAGGTGATGGCGAGCAACTTTCGTGAAGGAACGATGGCGAGAAAAGGTGGTTACAGCGATGGAAAGTTGCCGTGAAATTGGGTTTACGGCAGGCCGCAGCTGCTGGACTGTTCCAGCCAAAATTGGCCACGAAGGCCTGCTGTTTGGGTCTGGTATTTTGGGCAGATGATAGAGGAGGTGATGGCGAGCAACTTTTGTGAAGGAACGATGACAAGATAAGGTCGTTACGGCGACAGAAAGTCGCTATGAAATTGGGAATGTGGCTGCCCTGTTTTCCAGTCGAGAGAGAGGGGAAGGATGAGATCTGATTTTGGCCAGGCTTTTAAACAAAATGGCTAAAATTGTATTTTACCTTTCTAATTTAGATAGGGCTAATGAATCTGAGCCTCCTCTTTGGCCAAATCCAAAACAAAATTTGATTCATAGATATTAAAACCCAAACTTAAAAACTCTATCTCTTAAATCCTTATTAGTAAAGATTGTTATGTCTAATACATAAATAGAATGAGACTTACTATATAATAGTTATTCTCTCATTTTGATGTGTGCGCGTTATTATCATGCGGATGTCAAGAGGGAGAAAAGCAGGAGGATAGTAGAGAATACATGTTGTCCTGCAGATATGAGAATTTATGTATATATGAGTTCAATTTTAGAAAATTTTATTTTCAATACAACATTAGATTACTATACCTTTATGTACAGTTGATAGGGTAAGGCATTGTTTGTTCTTTAATAAAAGTATATAGCTTTGAGTGAGTCACGAGGCATTACATTCACATTGTGTTGGTTCCTTAAAGAAAGATGCAAAAAATAAAATAAAAATGAAACCGGTGATATATACGAGTCAATTATACTTTAGTACCATGTGCTTTACTCCAATTTGCTAGTCTATCGCTATCGTTTCAATTTTGACAGCTTAGTAACATTAGTTTACTATATTCTAAACCCATCGTTATTCTAGGTTTCAAGAAAATGTTATGTGATGAAAGTACATAGCTTTGAGTAGAGTGATGGGGCATTACATTGCGAATGTTACTTCAAGAAGGACCCAACTAGATAAAATTATTCTTGACCAAAAAAAACTAGATAAAATTATTATATATACTTGAGTTTTCTGCGGTTTTACCCCCTAAATTATTTAGATAGTGTCAATTTGCCCCATAATCAATTTTTTGGGTAAAATAAGGACAAACCTTTTAAAAATAGCCAATTCAAGGCCTACTGTCAATTCTTTTCAAATTTCATCCAAATTTCCATCCAAATTAAGGGTAAATTCTCCAATAAGGAGTTTTGTTAAGGATTATTTAAAGAGTTCTAATCTTAGCCATATATTAGATATGTTGGCAATCCAATGATTGAGATTAGAAGTCCTTAATCAATCCTTAACATAAAATCTTTAATGAATCCAAACCATATATTATATATATTCTTACAAATGTACCCTAAAAACCAATGTAATATTTTAGGACAGGTCATGTAATTATTGATTATGCTTACCCAAAAGAAAAATCTTTTGTTTAGAGCAATTACCGTTTTAACAATGTCCAATGATCATGAAATAGAGAGAAAGGAATCTATTCAAGGAGACCTTTGCTTTCTCACACTCATATACTAAAACGCTCGTCAATAATTATCATGATGATTATGAAACATAGTGGAGTACATAGTGTCTATTTGGAATTTCTGATCTTAAAACTATATCAAGACAAGTACAAAATCAATTCATATAAGCAAATAATCATATTTCTTGATGAACATAACATTCCAACAAAAATGGACCTAATCAACAGTTAAGACTCACATTCCAACAATGCAAGTATCTTATACTACCAAATTGTCATGCAAGATAACATTTGGGCGTAGCGAATACCTAAGTGATGTACGAGTATATAACGAAACTCATCGACATTATAGAATGTGCACCTTCTCCTATCCCAAATCTCTCTCATTAACTCCTTAGTGTCCCATAATGCTGCACAAGGGGACTCCAGTACATCGACAAGAAGGCTAACCCCTTATGAAATACAACAAATAAAGCTTACTGAAAGCATATTAAAGTTTCAACTAACACAGGCCAACATTAAAATATGGGGTTGAGAGCACAGTCCACCATTTCATATTCTGAAGAAATTTTCTTCCTTTCCACTCAATTCTGAAAGTACTGGTATCGTGGATTTTCAAAAAATTCATAATGCCATCCAGAATCATGCAACTACAAAAACTTGCATGCTCAAGCCCAGAATAACTCTGCACAAATATAGACTATTCTGGAGAGAAATGGAAGCCAAAGAACTCCAAACAAGTCAGCAACGATTAATAGACTGGTAAAAGGTCTTGCATGTTAATTGCAAAACACTTTATTTATGAGTGTGCCAGAGAATTTCCATTGAAAGACATGTACATAGCAGCATTTATGCATTGGTATGGTATCTGTCCTCAAAGTCCACACAAAAAGCGAACCCTGCAAAAACATTAGAAAGAGTATCAAATATTCTTCCAAGAGGATATAGATAGACAAGCAATATAGGAGCAAAGTCTGTCACTACCATCAGTCATTGGTATTTATTTGGTGACCTCCTCTTCTTCTTCTTCTTCGTCTCAAATGTGAGTGCATCTGGATTTGAACCATACATGTATCACGTTATTAAAATAGTGCCACAGACTAAAAAGAAAATGGCTACCACCACATAGTCAATGTTAATGCTGTCATCATATATCACTCAGTCCATTGCCACCATCCATGGCAGCACACTCACCAAGAGGCACTGCATTGCAGGGTGGTAGGGTTGGTTTATTTTATGTTTACCATGTATTTTAGGTAGTTTAGAAGTTTATGATTGTCATTAAAAAGAAACTTTAAATGGTGGGTGGGGTGAGTAGTTTTGGGAATGGTAATACAGGCACTCAAGTCCCCTTGTTGCTGCAACGCAATTAAGAAATTTCAAAATCTGCGTTAAGGGTTCTCAGAAGACTTTAAAAGCCAATAAGGAACCAAACCATATCTTCAGTTTAGCCCAATCCAAATTAACTTTGATCACCAAATTAAAGTGCGACGCAATATTGAGTGATTCTTTTAGCTTCTCAACCCATTCTTCCCTTCCTTATGAATATAAACTGAAAATCCTAGTAAATAAAATTCATATATTTTGATTGGAAGCTGATACCAAAACGCATCCAACCAATGTATGCAGTTATTATATTTTCTTGATCAAAAAAGTAAATGCAATGGTAAATGTTCAAAACTAAGATATATCAAGACTTACCTCCTTCAGAATATATTGAGTTGTAGTGCACCTCTGCCCAAAAGCTCAAACAAATTACTGCACAATATAAAATTTATCCAACGATTCAACACATAAAGGGGATATCAAGGTTAAGCAAGAAAAGGGCTATTTTCAGCATTACACCACCGTAACCTGAACTGATTTAAGTGCTTAGAAAACCACTCATGCAACATTGGAAGTTGAAAGAAAATGGTTTGGGATGAAGAAATTAAAAACTAAATGTACTACGTTCTAATGGGTTCTGAAATCATGAGCTTAAATCAATTAGGCCTTTAGAAAGTTAAACATATATTGAGTTCAAAAACTGAATTGGGTTGGGCTCTAAAAGTGGATAGGTGCACCGGAAAATGCTTTAGCTCTTTAGTTATTTGGAAAAATTGGAATAAGTATCTCATAACAAATGGAAAGAACATAGTCTTCAAATTTTTGTTACAGTTCAAATGTAAATTGAACCAAATACAACACTAAAACCTGAGTTTTCCTTCTTATCTTCATCATGGGAAGAAAACCTACGAGATTGATACAACCAGCCTGGTAACTATATCTATACACTGCAAATTTATAGTTAATTCTGCAGACTTGTTAGTACCTCTTGCTTCATAGACCACAGAAAGTTTTCTCATACTACCAAGAACAACATGCTCTTCTACGTGAATAAAGATATACCACCAGATTAAGGGCATACGAGTAAAAAAAATAGGGGAGGAACTTCAAAGCAATAACTAACTTACCTCGCTTCGACCTTTCGACATTAGGAAGAATTTCAATGTAGCAGGTGTCCTTGAAAGATGTTATGACAAAAATTTTAACTCCATACTGCCATAAATCATTAACATGTGTTATTATTGTATACTCCAAGTGAGCTAAAAGATGAGTCACAAAAAAGAGGTTTGAACTTCTTGGACAATTGATTCACAAGTCTAATAATGTTATTTTGGTAAAATATGATCCATCAAACTCAGCATAACCCAAGTATAGTATAACCGCAGTTTTAATGGAATTAGAACATTGAACAGAGTGTAACATCGACAACTAGAGTGGAAGTTAATTATCCAGAAAACACGCCCTAAATGGAATATGCTACACTACCTAACAAGTTAGACAAAATAGTAGCTTTTACCGGTCAACCTTAACTAATTGAAAGTATTGTTTGCTGTGTAGATGCTGAATTTGCACATATCACATCCTTATGTATTACTATTAGAATTGTTACTTTGCACAAGATTCATTTTAATAGCTATCCAATACCAATTAAAACCTCTATGACGCATATGAGCCAACTTTTCTCCGTTGTCAAGTATTCTCTTTATCTCTTGGCTACTAAATTCAAATACCAGTAGCAAAATTAAATTGGAAAAGCTATTTGGCAAGATGAAGCGATATGATTAAAGTAACATTAACTGTGAATTTTAGCATAAAACAAAAGGCAGAAGAAAAATTTACAATAATTATGAGAAAACAAAGTGAAGTTTTTAAAGCATACCGAATCAGCAGCAGCCTGTAAAGTAACATGATCACCCCATTCGCCACTCCTATTTTAAACACGATTATTAAAGCACAGTCAAATTTTACCGAAAAAGAAAATAATGAATCCAACTAAAGGACTAGATGAATACTTGGACACCTTCTCCATATAGTCACCATAAGCCATGGGAACATATCCCTCATATATCTCTGGGTACGACTTAAGCTGATCATTCAAGACATTGCAGCAATGAGAAACAAAACAAAAGTCCACAAACAATAATACCAGTAAAACTCAAAGTCATAGTTAAAAGACTAGTATGCCAAACTGATAGAGAATAAAGACACCCAACCTGATTCACAATTTGTTGTCTCACAAATTCGTGGTGCTCAGGCGATCGATAAAATTGATCTGATAGAGCGCGAAACTGAGAATATTACAATACAAACACATGCATAAATTACGTTAAGCACCATAATAGAAAAGCCAGCTTCCACATGTACAGGGCAGTCAGTGGCTGAACAAATAACCAATAGTACCTTTAAAAAACACAAGCACTGTTCCTTGCCCAACGACTATGCATTATTTGTTTGTTTGTTTGTTTGTTCGCTTGCTTGATCAAACAAATGTGCTTTTATTTTCAAAGTGGTAAAACTTTTGGGTTCAGAAATTGCACAAATTCCAAAAATGTAGAAAACTGAATAACAGCTCGGTCACATAATGTCACATTATTTACAACCAACCCGATTCAGCTACAAAAGAGTTTTATACAAGTTATATTTGAAATTCATATAATACAATTTGAAATTATAGCTAAGAGTTTTGTGTACGTTAAACATAGTGGAGGCATAAATGTATTATAAAACAGTATATGTGATAGATTCATAAGTTCTAAGCATAATGTGGGACTTTAGTTACACAGACTCACATATGGTATCATTTGTCACTACGTAATTTACTGCAGACAAATAATTGTGCTTCATCATCCAACCCCTTTTAAAAATAATGATAACACTAATGGTCATCATAGATTCATAATGACAACGACAATGATGATAATAAAATTGAGAAAGCTCTAAGTCCTGAAACTAGAATCATGATAGATATCATATCCATAGCAAAACAGAACGTATTAAGATAATTAATTTTTCGACAAGATAAAAGATGTAGGCCATCTGATTTTTGACAAATAAGACGTCCATGAAGCTACAGATGCTGAAAGCAAATCTTCAGTCTGGAGGAAACAATCACACCTCTCCCCTAATGGAAGTTAATTAAGGAATTAAAATTTCTTAAATATTATCATGTGATACTTATATTTTGGAGTAGTTACTCATCTAATGAGGCTTTTGTGACCTTAAAGATAAGACATCATAACACCATGACCAAAGACACACCAACGGGTTTGCTCCGAGTGAAAGAAGTTAACCTGACAGTTACCATCTCCTTGGACCTTACGCTCAATCAACCCATATAACTGCAACCTACAGAAGCAAACCATTTCTGGCATCATATTCATATCTAGGCTGGGTTTGGCACCACTTCATTAAGTCCATAATATGTCATGGTTTCACTATTACATCACAAGTTACTTTTTTTTTTTTTTTACACTTTTATGTGATCAAGTAATGCTTGGATCTTGATTTAAAAAATGCCTCTCCCAAGCTAGGTTAATTTGTAACAAGAAATATGCGTAAACAATAGGAAACAGAAGTCAAATCAATTTCAAGAAAAAATCATGCTTTCTTAATGTTACATTTTGATTTATTAAAAAGTGAAAATGAACAAGCTAAATTTTTTTGGGTTCCCTCTATTTTGTCCCAATTGTGACTTCAGTATCCATTATTAGTTTCATAACTTGTTACTCCCATAAGCTGTTATTCTAAATGTTGCCACAACCCTAGGAATATAATTTTTTTTTTCTCTCGCAGCAGAAAATTAGTAAACACAGAACTTCTTATGAGTGAATGTAGTGCAAAGATGGGGGAGATATTCTAGAAAACATTCCACAGAGAGCAGCAAAAACAACACCTGTCCAGAAGCCTTTGATGATCTAAAGTTGCTTCATCTACCGATGGTATATCACCATTAATTTTAGGAACATGCTGCACAAAACGAGCAAGGAACATAAAAGTATAAACTACAGAACATTGTTGTCAAGAAGCCAAAATTAGCATAGAGATCTCCGACTCTGCCGACCACCATCTACCATGACTAATTGTTTGTTAAGCTCATTAGGAAATTACAGTATCACACATTTATCCACATAGGGAATCACTCTTATTCCAGGAGAGAAAGAAGGAGAAAATAAAAATTAAACACTAGCAACATGTGTCATTGGGCATTTTTCAACATTTGATAGCTTGCAACAAAAATTAAGAGATCCTGCAGTACAAGCATGCTATCTCCAGTCCTCAATTATAGTCCACATGCACAAAGTTATCCATTAAAAAACCAAAAAGATACCTAGCTTCATATATCAACGATATATAAAGGAAAAGCAGAGAAAAGGTCTACAAACCCAATCAAGAGAGATAAAAACTAAACATTTTGATGCAATTTTTTAAGGTCATAACTCTGACGAATAATGCTGCACTTACAGGAACGGGAACCATCTGATTCAGCCTTTTTCCTACTTCTCCATCAAAAGTGCACTCTCCCGTCACCTCTAGGGAGTACGACCATTCATCCTCATAGTATGACTTTTCATCTGGGCTAGAACATGAACTAGAAGGCCCTACATCATCTTTCTCTTCCTGGCCACTCTCCTGACCTACAAATTGCAAACATAACATACACAACCACCTAAAGCAAAGCATCCAACTTTCCAAAGCCAAAAAGACCAAAAGAAAATAATACAAAAATCTCCATTTAACATTTACCAGAGCCATAATTTCCAATAGATTGCTGCAACCAATCTTGTGGGAATACAGATAATTGCAAATGTTCCACTTCTTCAGGTGAAGCTCCAGGCTCTTCCTCTATTGCAAGTAGTGATAATTCTTCTTGAAGAGCATGAGCAAAAAGTTCATCATATTCTACATTTCTACAATCAGTGTCATACACATCTTGCTTAAAATACAGCCCTTGATAATAATTAGCATCATCTTGGTTAACAGTCCCATAAGTCCCACAATTAGAATACGGATCACCATCAAAGAGCTCGAGACCCCACCGAATAACATCCGGGTCTTGCTCGTATGTAAGCATTTGCTATGTATATCCCTACTAAGTGCCAATAACACAAATTAATTACTACAGTCTACAGTCAATGTTGCCACTTAAAGCACCAGAAATTCAATTGTGAGCCCAAAACTGCATATAAAAAAGCCTACTTGCTCTGAAAGAAACATAGCACAGCATCTTTAACCTGCAGGTACTGCAACCCATTAGCACCAGGAAGAAAAAAATATATGTGATAGAAAAAACAGAATGCCCTCAAAAGAAAGAACAAAGCAGTTTCCATCATTTATTGCCCCCAAAAAAAAATCAAACTTTAAACAAATAATAATCCTGAAAGTTATTGATGAAACTAGAAACTAGAAACAAGAAAGGTTCCACATTTGGGCATCATTCACAGCCTACTTTTAATAAACACAAATGCCATTTCCTACTTTTGTCGCACATTTTCTGGGTAACCAAGCAAACTCATTAATCTGATAAACTAAATCATCAAATCTTATTTTTCTAAGAAAACATTAAAGGAGGGACGCAGAGCAAATGTTTCACCTTGGATCATTCTCGGATCAAGTTGTGTGGCCGATGGAGACAGAAAGCAACGAGTTTCGAAGTATTATAATTATTGGAATTTTTTAGGTTGAAATGGAAAAGAAAAAATAAAAATAAAGAGAGAGAGAAGAGAGAGAGAGAGAGAGACAATAATTGTGTTTATTTATGAAATGAGAATTGATAAAAATACTTGTATGTATATGGACCAGATATTATCGAAAGGCGGGACCGAGACGCCGCAGAAAGAGAAGCGAAGAGAGAAAAGGTGGGGAACAGTGAAAGGGAATATGAGGACTGAGACTGACGACGTCGCAAAGGGCCAAATTGGTAAGTGACGGACGTCACGAGGCTTTGTTCAGTGTTTCTGTCGCCATGTTCAGCCCACAAAAACGCAGACTGACAGTGATAGCTCTTTAAAACATAAAACTTTGGACTTTTTTGTTTTTTCTTTGTTGATTAATCAACCACATGAGATTTGAACACCTCAAACGAAATGGATTACTACTGTAGGAAATGATGAACAGTTATTTACACTAACATCCTTGAGGGTTTCAATGTTTTCAGAAAATCTCATGATGTTTCAAAACTTTCATGAACACGCCTTAGGATTTCAAATTGTTTTCATAAAACACCTTTTCATTGATTGTTCGTTCAAAATATGATGATTTTATAAAAGAAAACTTATGCAAATGACAAAATCAATGAATGTATTTGCAATCTAATCTCAAAGACTAACTTTGTCATTTGGATAAATTATTTATATAAAATCATCAATTTTTAGACAAAATTAAACATCATGGGGTGTTCGTGTAATTTTTGAAACCTCATGGTTTTTTTTTAAAACTCCGAAAACCTCAAGGAGTGTTAGTGTAAATAACTCAATGATGAATCATCCCATTTGATATTAATTAGATTATGAATTTTATTTCAAAAAAGTTATAGGGTTTATGGATTTTAATTGATTTCCATAGTAAGGGGCTTGTATAGTAACGGGCTTGTAGCTTTTGTATGAATTGCACAAGAGGTCACGTGTTTGAATCCTCTGTTAGAGTATGTAGAACTAGGATTGTGACAAGTGACACTTATCGACTGATGTTATGGAATTAGTCACTAAGCTATTATAATCAGTTAGAGCCTTATAAAGTTGAACAAGCTATAAAGCTTAATTCTCTGTAATTGTATAGTTATATGAGAAATAATACAAAAAAGTTCATCTTCTTCTTAATTCTCTCTCTATTTCTCTCTTGTTAACATCCCCCTCCCCCAATATCGCTTGTGTCAAAAGAATTTCTTCTATGGGAATAAGGAATTGGAATTAGATCAACTACTCCCCCTAGCTAATCACATTATGCTACGCGTTATAACTTTTCCACATGGGATATCATAATTGGCGTGAGATAGCAAAACAAGTGTTATTCATGTTTCACACAAGTTTTTCTGGTGTGGAGGAGATGCCCATCAAGCCAAGCTATAACCCAATGGGGAATGCTAGCAACCTTCTCTCTAACCTTCTCTTTTGGACATTCTCCATTTTTCTCATGACATGTCACATTCCTTCCATTTAAAACAAGCTAACTTTTCTTTTTCTAAATTTACCCTTATTGAATATTTTTATTCAAAATTTTTTTTTAACCATTTTATTACTCTCTCCTACTATCACAATCTCTATCTCACATGCGCAAGACCCATCTTCATAACCCACCACTCTACCCAGACCCATCCTCACACTCGGACTCCATTGATTAAGCAAACTGACTCCTTTGTTTTGGCAAAGTCAACAAACTCCACATGCACCTCTTGAGTCTTTGTGAGCCCGCTTCTTTTACAGAAGAAAAAAATTTCCAGGTCCTCCCCTTAACCCAAATTCAAAACCATTGGAAGACCCCACCGTCCCTTCCTCCCTTCTTCATCGTCCCTGCCCTCATACCCCACCCACCCTCCCTGTAATTTCTCACCACACTGACCCCCACCCTCTCCCCAATCTCTATGTATTGGTTCTAACCCACCATCCTCCATGAAATTTGGGTTTTTGCAAAAGAACAAAATGAAAAGATGACAAAATCATCATATTCATATTTTTGTGCAGAGACGTGTGAAGAAGGATGTATTGTAAAATAAATAAAAATATATCAAACATGGGTGGGATGGAAAATGGATGTGACTGTTGGGTTTTCACCAGTGGGGGAGGAGTTGGGGTTGGGGTGGGAAAATGAAATTAGTGGTTGGGGTGGAAGGTGGGGGTGGTTGCGCCGGTGGGAGAAGGAGAGATGAGTTGTGGGTGTGATCGTTGTGGTGTTGACTGTTGGGTTTTCTCGAAGGAGGAGGAGGAAGAGGTGGGGCGAGGGCGAGTTCGGGTGATTGAAGAATCCTTTTTTTTATTGTTTATTATTTTAAGCAATAAAAAACGGCAAAAACGGAAATACAATTAATATTCTTTTGTGTAATTAAAATATTGGTTTAAGTGAGAGAGAAGTGACACTTGTCATGAGTAAAAGAGAGAAGATCAAAAAGAGAAGGTTAGGCCATCTCCAACCCAAAGGGTGGAAACCCAAATTATGAGTTTTGAGTTCAAAAATATTTTCCAACCCATGTATTTTGGGGGGTGGAAATTTGAGAAATCTCAAATGTTGGGTGGAATTCCAGTCCAAGTATTGCCTAGACTAGTATTTTAACTGGGCCCAAACTCTGTTTTTTTTTTTCCTGGCTTGGAAGTCCACATGAAGACCAAAGTAAGTTGGGCCCCACATGAAATGTTTGCTGTCTGGCCATCAACAGCTGGCCCCGTGTGAAATGTTGGCTTGTGCAAGTTGATACCAACAATGGCTATATTTTTAAAATGAGATATTTAGTCAAATACCCATTCTTAGCACTAAAATTATAAATAAACCCCACACCATTTAATTTCTATAAACAAACCTAAAAAAAACCCAAAAAATGACAATTGGCCATATTGAATTTAATTTTGATTATTAAATTACTTTGATGTCCTATTGAGTATTTTGGGCTTGTTTATATGTTTTGGGATTGAGCTTGTTTTGAGAAATCAATGGTAGTTTTGTAATTTAAAAGAAGTTAAAAGTCTTTTTGTTATGTTATAAATGAGTTTTGGGTGTGTTTCTAAAGTCCATTTCATATGGGGTATTTTTATAATTAGGGCTCATATATTTGGTATATTAGTGAATCTCCCTTTTTAAAAGTTGTGTTGTGCTTTTTTAAAAAAAAAATATATATTTATATTTATTTTTTTATTTATAATTATTTATAATTCCAACAGCTATATTTTATAATTATCCCTTTGTTTTCCTTTCTACCTTTGTTATATTTTCTCCCTTTTATTTATAATTATCATTTATCTTTATTTATGATTGTCGTTTATTTTTTTAAATTCAATGATAAACCACATAATTCATTAAAATCACACAATCACTTTTATAATTTATTCCAAGCATTCGTATGGTGTTGTACTTGTTTTTATTTTTAAGTGAAATTCTATTATGTTTTGAAATTTTAATTTTTTTATGTTAAAATGTTTAGAAAATTAAATCACGAATGTTGAAACAAAAATAATGTCAAGAAAAATTAACAAGAAAAAAAAATTTAGGGGTTAATCATTTTTAAACGGACTCAAATTATGAGTCTGTAAGGTTGGAGGAAAAAAATTGTGAATCCTGAAAATACATGAATAGTTGTATTTTGAAGAATGGAAATTTGAGTTTAATTCCAACATGATTGGGACCCAGCAACCTGGGTTGGCCCAAGGGCAAGGTTGGCCCGAGCTCTAGCCCTCGTTTTGGTGCTGACGTCAGCGCTACAGTACCGCTACAGTGCACACACGCTACAGTGCTACGTGCTACAATGCCGCTAAAAGTCCACGTGTCGCGCTCTGGGCTCTCCGATCAGATTTTTTTCTCCAATTCAACGGCAGACAATTTTTGTGCAATAAAAAAATGAAAAAAAATTACTGATTTTTTTTTTCTATAAATACCAAAATTTTATCCGATTGAGATATGAATTTTATAATAAATATTGACACATACGAACCCAAAAATCTTATCCGAAAATATTATCCAAATTAATTGTTTAGATAAACAAATTTGTGAAAAAAAATAAAAAAATGAATAGTAATTGCCCTTTGCCATGACAACGGATGGAAACACACAATACTATTTGCAAGGGCAAATCTAGCTCCCCCTTGCCATGGCAAGGGACAAATGGGTGGAGTTGCTCTTAGAGCAAGTCCAGCGTTGGTGCAAAACCGGGCAAAAGGCTGCTCGGGCAAGCCCAATTCGACTCCAGCGGTAGAGAACAAGCTCGGGCAAGGCATGGGACCCACCAGCCTGGGCAAGCCCACGGGCAAATCTTGCATGGGCTCAAGCCCGAAGGCGCTGACGTCAGCGAGCAAAAAAAATTCAAAAAAATTCAATTTTTTTTTTTTTTTATAAAAAAAACCAAAATATTATGGATGTTTTCCCTATAAATACATAACAATTTTATTCACTTTCTAAATTTTTTATATTTTGTTGCATAATCTTTTTTTTTTCCTTGCCCTTGCCCTAGCCTTCCAAGGGTGGAACCAACTAAGGCAAGGCTGCCACTATTCACATGAATAGTGGCAGTCCTTGCCTTGCCTTAGCCTTTATGGTGGACTTGCTCTTAAAGAGAAGGTTGCTAGCATTCTTTATAACCAAATAGACTCATGGGCCGTGGGTTGAATCACGACCAACTTTGATTTGACCTTGACCACCCATCACTCCAAACAATCCCAGCTGACATGGCAGAATAGTGCACTTGTCACGTCTAAAGTCCAATACAAACAAATGCTCTCTCTCTCTCTCTCCCCTTCTCTCCCTCCCTTTGCCTTCGCCAACTCTTTCTCCCCGCCATTTCTTTGCTCCGAAAAACAAGCAAAGCCTCCAAAACGCCTCACGCTCTCTGTTTCTCATGGCCTCACACCATCCCCGCCCACCCCTTTCACTTTCTTCTACCGCATTCCCAATCCCTTTCTCCACATACAGTACCACCTCGTCGTCTCTTTCAAACGATCGTAATCTGAAATCGAATCGATATATACATTTCGTATATCAATTCAATCGTCTTCTTCGTTCGGAGGCTTAGCACGACGGTCGATATGATCAGCAGAGACAGAGAGCAACTCAAAGATCTCTCTGTTAGGGTTTTCTCTGTTATCCTTTTCTTCAGCTTCTTCAGCTTACCTCTGCCCCGAATTGCTGGGCAGGACACGGCAAGCTATGATCTCGCCACCGAGCTCGTC